GTGACCATAAGTAACGACATTACCAGAGCGGTTCTCTGTTGTTGATAAGTTCCAATTTAGCTAAAGCTAACTACTGGTTACTGTTGTAAGTCTTATAACGTGATGTCAAAACCGATCACGAAAAAACAAGGAAAAAATATGACAAGGCACAATGAACGGTGAATTGGTGAGTAAGTTAAGTTCCTTCATAACGGTGTGATTAGTTAAGAAACTTTCTATAATTACCGAATAATAACGCAGCAAAGGTGAGTACGTCACTGACAGTCCAGGCAGTGTACAATATGGCAATTGGGTAAAGATTCATATGAATGGCTAATTTTCTTAAGTCAATGAATATCTGCTTTGAGGTCATGATTGTGTGGGAGGAACGTCGCTCTCCTCACCTGGAGTTAGAATCTACTGTATTCTTGTTTATCATCAGGAGATGGACTGCTCCACTCCGGCTATTAATCCCTGTCAGTGAGCTGTAGAGAGCATCAGGCCACAGTTGACGCCACACATCACGTCTTCCCAAAGTGTTGACGTGTGTATGGCTTGATTGAAGGTCAGGCCATACTATACAGCTTACTGGATCATCCTACAGTGATATTATTGGTCGGGCATCTGTAGAGATCTACCATCAGAGTTTATCAGTCAATAGTTAGTACGTGAACATCTTCGTACCTTGTCATTGTTTGTGTATCTGAACTAAGGTACTGTACGTGCATTAATAAACGACTCGCTGTTTAAAAATTGCAGTAATCAACACTTGAAATTGCTGGCGGGACACTGAGAATGTAATGCAAATCTTGAAATAACAGAGAGGACGGCAATTAAAATTTCGAGGTGACAATGAAAATGAAGAGTGGCACTGACATTGTAGGGTGGCATTGACAATGTAGGGTGGCACTGACATTGTAGGGTGGCACTGACATTGTAGGGTGGCACTGACATTGTAGGGTGGCACTGACATTGTAGGGTGGCACTGACATTGTAGGGTGGCACTGACATTGTAGGTTGGCACTGACATTGTAGGGTGGCACTGACATTCTAGGGTGGTATTGAAAATTCACGTGGGCAGATGCAAGCAGTGGGGGTAAATATGATCCATTTGTGAGGGACGCAACTCCGTAATTGCTCGTGAGAGGTTAATGTTGACAGTGTGAGGGAGGCAGACGAGGTTGATGTAGTGGGTGAGAGTTGCCCTGGCAACATGACTCGGTATAACACCCACACGGGTAGAGGATATATAGCTCTACTGTTCTCCTGAATTTTGTATATGTTACAGTTAAAACTCAAAGTAAGTCAAAACCAGGTTTAACTAGTTAAAATTAGAAGCCACAAAGGCTGTACAATACAACTATTATTAACTAGGCAAAACTTGTTACTTAAATCCAGGACTAGCATATTATTAAACTTACATTATATAAAAATTTAAGTTAAAACTAGTTTAAAAAACATCACTGTGTGAAAAACTTTTTTTCTGGAATCACCAAGTGATACCATCACCGATTTTCCCCGGACCATTAAACCATTCTTGACTTTGATCAGGGTCGACCTGATTGAACTTGGATTCAGTTCTCTTGACTACAATGAACTATATCAGGAAGTTGGTTCCCCAGCGGTCATAGTTACTGTGGTTGTATCCCGTTAACAGTGGCAGCATTGCTTTGAAAGCATAAAGAGGGAGTTGCCAATTCCCCTCCCGCTGTGCACGGTGTATTGTACACAAGAAGTATTTGCACCATCTGCATGCAGCCCACCAGAATTTGAATTGAGGATTATCCTTGGAGTTGATGAATGCTTCCATTGGTTCATTAAATTTTCTAGTTTCACATTGAGACATATAAGTCCATCCACATCACCAGCATTCATTGTGTCTTTTGGTTTTCCAGTTGAACTTCATTAAATTCAATCTATCATATATATGCTAGTAGCCTATGTGGATAGTTTGTGTGCCCAGACTGCTCGTGCATATGAATAACCGACCATCACCAGCTCAGCAGATGTTGATCCAAGAACGATACTTTCTACCCATGAATCAGCAAGTCCATATAATATGCTTCCCTATAACACGGCAGAAGTTCATCAGTGTATGAAGACCCCCAAGTCTTACAACTAAAAAGTCCTGATATTCTGGAATAGCCCTTTTGAGCTCCATCAATCGGTTTTACCAAACTGAAGCAAATTTAATTGAGTTTCCTGTATCCCAAAACTACTGAAAAGTATTTTGAGTTAATCAGATACGTCAATTAGAAGTAACAATAAAAAAAAATCTGTTGTGACGGCCATATTGGATTTATGCACATTAGTAAAGATGGCGGCCAGATACGGCTTGACATACGGTAGAATCAACACACTTTATCACTTAGAATCAAGTGTATTCCTTCTTGTTACAAAAAATTCCTCTGGTACTTTTTCTTTACACTTTTTTGCATTTTCAGATCAGTCTACCTCCTCTCCCCGATTCAGTGTAACTTTGTGGTTACTGTTTGTTTGTCACGTTGGTTCCTTGTCCGGCTCATCTCAGGTATTTTTTCTTTTACATTTTGATTCATTTTGCTCATGGCATGCCATGGGGGCGGCGTAACGTACCACTGATTGTTATAGTTTTAATTTCAATGTTAGAAGGTTATTGGACTTCCCGAAAATCACTTCACACTTGATAAATACTTGATAGCTCTCGCGGCTAAACTATTTATTAGTCAAAGAAAATTGTATAGAATAACAAGTGTTTATTGTCTATAGGATTGATTTTTTTTTAATGTACAATGAAGGGAAAAGTGGATCATACCTCATTGTATACGAACGCTTACATGTGTCCTGGTGCATTACTGGTGAATTATTGAACTATGTACAGTGCAGTACGATGATTGTAGGAACTTTAAGTGAACATACCAAAACCAGGTATTTTCATGATTAAATCAATAATATCCAAGGTTAAGTTTGGACGACAACCCTCAGTGGTGCATATTTGGTAAAATCAGAGGAAGATCAGTGATGATTTGTTCTGATACCTGGTGGACGGAGAGTGTGACGTGACAGTGGCCTGGGGGATTATTTTCATAAACCATAAGAATATTTTTAGTTTGCAACTATCAATAGGAAACAATTATTCTTCGATACATTTTTTCGACAAATTAATAAATTAGAGGCGTAAGGCAGTAGGTTATACAAGACTCAGACATGTGCATAATAAATAGGCAGGTTGTCAGAGGGACATGATAGAGGTATTTGTTCACTGTTTTAGAAAGAGTTATTATCTGAATGCCTTTGAATGAAATGTTAATTGTTTTGTATTGCTAAATCTTTGAAGGATTTCTTTTATTGTATTCCTAGACAATATTTAATAAGTTTTCATAAGTGAGTTTAGTTATTTTTTTGTCCTATTTACTTTTGTTTTCTTATTTCCTTGGGCCTACATTGTCTGGGAGCATTATGCTTTCGTATATTAATTTTATTTTCTAAATAGTAATGACTTGCCAGCGCAGGTGTTCTTTACACTGTGGTGGAGCTGACGACCATAGGTTTAGCATACCAAGTTAACTGATTATCACTATTGTAAACCAGAATAGTTTAACCTAAGCTGATGTAGCTTACGTTCTACACAATATTGTGTAAAGTATTTGAGCCATGTAGGTCCTGTAGCGGGAGTCGCGGAATGTGACATCTTGTATGACCAAACACTAACGTTTTTTTATGTAATAAATGGGTGTGGTAGCCGAGGTGGGTGAAAAAAAGATTTTCCACTCTACTCTGCCAGTCGCAATCGCCTCCTATTGAGGTAGAACGATGGAATTTGTCTAAAATTTAGTGCCATACGTACTGAGGATTACTACCAATGATGAGGACGGTGACTCTGAAAGTAATGCTTCAATTGATGATAATGCTGACTGTATGGTAGATGACAGTGATACAGACAGTGATATACTGTAGATGAAACAAAGATTATGACTCAATGTATACATATAGCTGCCAGAGTGATATACAGTGTTATAGAAAAAAATTAATTGGACTTAGAGACATGAAAAAAAATATACGAGTATGTGGAATTTCTTTAACTAATTTGGTCTGTTATTAGACACACTTGTACAGTTGTGGAAATATGTTCCTACACCCCCTGTGGTAACCTGTGTTTCAAAACGGCAACGTCGCGGTAGTAGTAGTGTCACTATTTATGAATGGATGGGTATTGGTCGTGAACGACTGTCGTGATTGGTGGACACGGGTTCGTCCCGATTACTTTTTGAGAATGATGTTGTTTGGTGTGACTACTGCAGGTCGCATGTTCTGGTTTTCTCCTGTACTAACACAGGACCCAAGAAGGGCAAACTTGTCAGGAAAAATTTGGGGATTAAAGTAACCGACTTCCTTTTCAGGATATATATATATATATATATATATATATATATATATATATATATATATATATATATATATATATATATATATATATATATATATATATATAATGAATTCCAGTTATCACCAACTTTTTTATATGGGAATAGCCCACCCAGGCAAGGTCATCGACCCACAGGGGCCTGGGGTGGGAATCCACAAACAAACACAGGCAGTGTTTGACTGAACCTTGAGTAATTTATACTGGAGTGGATAGCGCCATTAGTTGACTGACTGGCTTCCTTAGAGGATCAGTGGGAGCTGTCCTCCACGGAAACAGTGTTAATACAGAAGGAAACGTGTGGAGTGACAATCATCAACATCATTTTCACATTCGACTCAAGCAGGTAAGCAGGTATCGAACCCGAGTCACAATGGTGAAAGGATAGCGTCTTACCGCTGTGCTCCCACATCCTTTATCGGAAAAGAAGTATCTTTTTTTTTGTAGATATAGCAATGATAAATGACCTTTCCGTTCTCTTTAACCCCTTCTTATCGGGGGCTCTACTTTTAATACTTAATTCTGGCTAACGCTAGACGATTTTATTCAGTTGAGAGGGGAGCCCGTACACAGTGGTTAAATACCAGTTTTATATCGTGATAGACAATACATAACTTACCTGACGAAGGGTTGGGAAGGAACGTCCATCCTGGCGCTTGTTTAGAGTGGGTGAGGTGAAGGAGGCCGTGGCCGTTGTGGAGAACTGCTGCCCACAACACGACCACCAGAGCCGCCACGCGACACATCCTCGGTGTACACCCGGGGCAACAGAAGTACTGTCCTCACTAATGCTCGCTCTTTAGATGGTGAGAAACAGTTTGTTTCACACCAGCTGAACGTTTAAGGTTGACGTCTGTCTGTTTTATACGGGGGAAAATGAATAAACAGTTTATGGAGTAGGAAGCAAATTTTCGCTATTTAGATTTCTTTTACAAGCCTAAGTTACAGTACATTAATAAATATGTCAGAATTTATAACACGAAATATTTTTTTCTGGAAATTTAATTACTTCAGGTGACTATAAGCCTGATCGTACAAGTAGAAACTATTACTTTTGCATTGTATGTTTCCCCGGGGCACTTTCGTAGTTGTTTAACTTACAGCATTTATGAACTAGTATCAACTTGTCTAAAGAGCGTTACGTAGCAGAAGTAGCAACAAACTATCTTTACTTTTAGTGTTATTTTTATTATTATTATTATATTCTATAATGATCGACCATATCAAACAAAATGCAAACTTTTCCCCCGAAAAAAAATAGATAAAGAGAAAGCTTACTGAAATAAAATTAACTCACGACAAATAAAATCTTCGTTTGAATTACATTAACCACACAGCTACGTTAACTCCTTTAATTGTTCTCAAAAAGTTTCCGGTGGAAGACGTGCAGGAGTTGGTGTGAGGGAGTACACGAGACGGTGTTTTCTGCCTGGCAGTCCTGCCAATTCTGCCTGGAGCGGCTCTCTCACCCCTTTTATAGACTCAGGCGCGCAGGTCCCTGACACTGGGGGAGGAGGAGCGGGGGAGGCGTGGGAAGGAGAAACTCGGAGAAGACGAGAGGAAAATAAAGAGAAAATGGAAACGACATAAGCGAGCGATGCAAATGAAAAGGGAGAGAATAAGAGTGGAAAATGTAAAGAGTTAATGGAGCGAGAGGTAGAGAGGATAGTGTGGAAGACGGCTTTATGAGAGATGGGATATAGAGGAGGATGAAGTAGGGAGACCCGTAGCTTGTACTCACTGTCGACTACTACAGTATGTGGCATGTGTGAACATTTACATACCAGCACCTGTTGATAAGTTCACCATCAACAGTAAGCCGAAGTGTTCATTAGAAATCATATACAGTAACGTATACATTCATTTTAAAAACATCAAAAGTCAAACACAATTAACAGAACAACATAGACCAACCCACGGCTAACCTTACCGGACTATTTCTAACATCCCAAATAATCCCGCCTAACATAATGTAACCTTGGCATCATTTTACATTTGGATTATGAGATGTTTCCCCTTTGTTTTATCCATATGGGATTTATAAATGACCTAGGACGGTACCATATTGATGATTACTTATCACACTTACTCTATCATTGACTTAAAACGGGAGCATAATGATGATTAGGCTTCGTTTAATTATGTGCTTAAAAATGGATAAATATGCATGCAAATATGAAATAAAAAGAGGATATATATAAACTTTAGAATAAAGCTAGGAATCCATTCACGCGGTTGCAGTCGCGCCAAAAATAGATCATATTGAAATGTACACGGCTGTTTCCATTGCCACGGTTACGTTAGCGGTATTGTTAACGTCATGCGTTTGCGGTACATTTCAATCCGTCCCTGCAGTGATAGAAAACGCAACCGCATGGAAACGGACGAGGGAATCCCACACTGTGACGTCACTAGTTCCTGTTTCATACACATGCCCTCCTCACTCAGAAAAATATTCTTTGAATTTTTCTTCACCAAGCTTAGCTCTTATACCAAAGTATTGTAGGCTCCATATTTGGACCGATTTATGCACCACCATCAATGTTTCCTTGACCGTTTTCCCTTTGCATCACGCATGATCTTATACAAATCTAGGATAATTAATAGCAAAGCATCCTGTTCATATAAATAGCGTCGTAGCTTCGATGCACTGGGAGCCATCTTTCCTGTCTTGTTCCCGTTAAGACAGAATACGCAGCTGCAAATAGAAACATGGGTGTCCATTTCCAAAGCAATTTACCGCAAACTCACTACAAACGCATACCGCAAGTGCATACTGTATATGGAATTCTAGCTTTAGTTAAAAAACTAACTTTACGGTACATTTATTGTCCCAGATAGGACAATATATATATATATATATATATATATATATATATATATATATATATATATATATATATATATATATATATATAGTATATATATATATATATATATATATATATATATATATATATATATATATATATATATATATATATATACTGATATAAAGTACTTTTCCAAAGAATACTAACAAAGTGTCTACTTTTTAAGAAAACAAATTTTTCTTGCTTAAGTAGTACTTAACACTCACACATATACTGTATAATAACTACAGTAAAGGCAACATTTATGTTATTCTTATGTTCAGTATATGTTGAAAACAAACATAATTATGTAAAAATTAAAAGCAAAATTTTTAATGAATATTAATAAAACAATAATGACAGAAATCTATGAACCTAAGTTGCACCTAATGATAATATGGAGTAGATTTTCAGAGACAAAATTTCGTCTATTGTCAGCAAGAATACATTAATACTGTGAAACACTCGTTTCACATGGCAAGGTACGATGGGAGTATACTGTAACTTTCCTATGTCTGACAGTTCAAGTTCTTCTAGAGTGGCATCAATAGAAGCTTTGATTTACAAATTCTCACTGATTTTCCTCAATCGTCTGTAACTTGTGTTTTTACCAAGAACCATAATGATTTTTTCAATGTAATCCTTTTTTCCGTGTGACTCAAATACTCTACAGTACAACTCCTTGATCGATGCTGCGCCTCAGGTTAGTCCTTTTGTCTTTATTATTGCTTTAAACATCACAGCGGGATACAGTGGCGTATATAGTGGGGGGAACTCGGCCATGCCCCTCCCTTTTTCTCACTACTGCTACTATTCTTTGCACTTCTTTCCTTGAACAATGGAAGCCCTCCAAGTTAGAACGTAAGAGCGTTCAGCTTACAGGTAGTAGGCAGCTATCAAACAGGGAGGTACTACCGCCCTGGAAGATATTGGAAGCTTAATGTGTTGTCTAATGGTAGACCCTGCTGCCATATGGCATCACAAAAATTGTGACCAAGTCCCAGGTTGCTGATCTGACTTTCTGCTTCATTTACACAATTGCAGACTGTGAGACGGACCTCCTCATTATGGAAGCCTTGTATCAGTAAAAAGTAAAGCTATAAATTTTGGTATAATGTTACGTTTTTATTGTATATCACCTGTAATTTTTTTAAACTTTTTAAAACTTTTTGTTTTCTAGGCTCTGATGGTGGAAAATTATTTTCCGAAACGTTAGTGATTAAAGAAAGTCAACTTAGTCAAGTTGTTTGTGTTTTCCCTGGTTCTTCTCTTCGTTATATATATATATATATATATATATATATATATATATATATATATATATATATATAACCTCCATTGTCAAGTACTTTCAATTTTGCAACAATCCTAGAAGAGGGAAATGTGTTTTCTTTTGACATGTATGTATATTTTTTGCTAAGGAACTTTTGTGTTCTATGAATACGATTGCCAGTATACTGTATAATTTGTTTTATAAGCTTCCAAAAATGCCACTGAAAATTAAACCTACTGTATATGCTGTTGTCGATGATTATCGTGTGGATTAGTAGTTCTTACGGATTATCACTAATATGGTAGCATGATCAGTTGAGTAAACTAATCCCTGGACAAATCTGTGCATTAGGTGATATATTTATTATTATTATTTTTCATTTTATTTATTTTTTTTTTTACGAGGATTAGCCCACCCAGGCACAGATCACTGACCCACATCGGGGCCTGGCGGATAATAATAATAATAATAATAATAATAATAATAATAATTCACCAAATAAAATTCATAATAAAAATTGTTAAATAAAATAATAATGATAATAATAATAGCAATGTAATAATAATAATATTGATATTCATAATAACACTAATAATAATAATAATAATAATGATATAATAATAATAATAATAATAATAATAATAATAAAGAAATAAAAAAAAAATAAAAAAAAGATCAAAAGTGAGAAACAATATATGTATGTTGTGTTGTCAATAGTACGGGAAACAATTGAGACCCTGCAATTGTGTGTAAATGAGGCAGAAAGTCAGATCAGCAACCTGGGACTTAGTGACAGTTTTCGTGATGCCATATGGCAGCAGGGTCTACCATTAGACAACACATTATGCTTCCAATATCTCCCAGGCGGTAGTACCTCCCTGTTTGCTAGCTGCCTACTACCTACTGCTTTAGGATTATTCCATATAAATCTAAAGGAAATTAAAACATCATCCGATTGGAGGTAAATCTTGCCCGGGAACCGTTATTATGGCAGGGCAAATATCGACCTTGTAATACATCTACGATCTATGGCAATATAATGTAGTCACTGCTGGAGAACATTTCACGTCAGGTTTTCTTTAACTGCTGAAAGAAAATTCGTTTCCTTTAACCTTCGGAAAAATACTATTACCACGGCAATACCTTAGTCAATTCTATCGTGATACATCAATAGTTCATCAAGTGGACTTTGTTGATCAAATATGGTAAGTTTTATTTGGCGATAATCCCCGAATCTGTGTTCAATTTATTTTTAGAAACGTGGCTGACATACAGGAATCAAAGCAATATCCTGCCCTCAGTTGCCCTGCTAATACTAAATTTACTGGAAAAAGACTCGATTTTTTTGCCTTAACTTGTCCGCGATATGAATTATAGTGTGTGAACTCTCTTTAAGGGACTCCTCTTAAATGAGAGTTTTAATGCCGTCTCGACCCATTTTACAGGTTTATCGTGGTAACAGACATACAGACACAGCCAAATCGCCTTACCAACCTTCACATCAGAGGACGGTAGTGAGTACTGAGCAACCCGGAGTTAATGGCGCTGCGTAGGTTGCGGCTCCATAAAACGACGATTACAACAGCTGATGAAGGGGTAATGGAGGGGAGTGGAGATAATTTAAAGAGAAAGAAAAAGTGTAATAATAAAAGAAAAGATAACACACAAAATTAAGGAGAAGCGTACAGCACAAGGAGATAATGATGTGTGAGAACAGTAAACAAAAGACGAGAGAGGAGAATGAACGTAAGCACTGACATTCCCTTACAATCGACCAATAACTGGCAGTCTGACACGGAGCCAAACATCAATATTCGACTATATATCAAGTGAATAATGTTTTTACTGGCCCGCACACATAAGGCTGTATAAAGATCCTGCTTTAGGTTGCAAGAGGTCAAATATAGAAATCAATATGAAATCTGACAAGAATGTAAGTCAATAAATGTAACATATACTGTAGAGGCCTAGTGTTATTCCAGTGAGTGTTCTCTTGAAGTACAGTTGTGTAACTTTTAAAATAAACGTCCTTATAAATCTATCCGTCTCCTTGACACAGTGCACTATAACATTATCCATCATGACACATTGCACTATAACATTATCCATCATGACACAGTGCACTATAACATTATCCATCTTGACACAGTGCACTATAACATTATCCATCTTGACACAGTGCACTATATCATTATCCATCATGACACAGTGCACTATAACATTATCCATCATGACACAGTGCACTATAACATTATCCATCATGACACAGTGCACTATAACATTATCCATCATGACACTGCACTATAACATTATCCATCTCCTTGACACAGTGCACTATAACATTATCCATCATGACACAGTGCACTATAACATTATCCATCTTGACACAGTGCACTATAACATTATCCATCTTGACACAGTGCACTATAACATTATCCATCTCCTTGACACAGTGCACTATAACATTATCCACCT